GTTAGAAAATAAAAACCCATCAAATCCACAGAAATTCTTTTTCTATGAAAACAAAGAATATGCAGTTTAAAGTGGTTGTACATTGGAATTCGATTTTCATTTTCACGTTGCAATCAAACGGTCAAAGTGATATTCGTTTTCTTCAAATGTGATATTTTTCATGGAAAATGTGTCAATCAAACATGGCCGAAGTGACTTAAGTTGGAAATGGTTAGATCTAGCATAATTTTGAGGGGATCCACTTCTTATTTGTGGAAGATTAAAGTAAATTTGTATTTGTTTTTGTGATTACATTAATATAGTAAATTGACATACTTAAAATGATGTTCAGATGAATGAGAAATTAAAAATCAAAATATACCAATTGAAGTTGGGAAGTATTGGAAGGGAAAGCTAAAAAAATTTGTCCCACATGAAAAAATAATAAGGCATATGCTTGTTTATATTTGGCGATATTGTATGAAGGTGTAAGTTTATCTTGTGTGTCCACACAGAGGGTGCAAATTAATGATCGTCTTAGCACCTCTTCCATTTACAATATATAAAGGCCATTTGATTCATGCAGACCAGTCCATTGAGCCCATCACAGAAACCATACAAATCGTTCAAAGTCTAGGCCCAAAAGACATTGCTACATGTACATCAAACTTCACATAATGGGTTACATAATCCTACATGCCACTCTATTATTTGTCAATTTTAAACACAATCAATTTTTTATCCAATTATTTTCTTCCACGTCATTTTATGTAATTAATTATGTACCAATTTTATGTACAAATAGTATAATCCATACCCAAAAATAGAACTATATTTAAATTGGCCTAGGAGATATCATATTCAAACTGCAAGCTTGGAGTGGATTGGTCCAAAGACTTTTCATTCATAGGCTAATCTTTGAGCTCGCTACATCATGGGTCGAAATGGGACAAAGCCACCATGCCAAAGACAAGAAGTTCACTTAACAGGTCGAGCCACACTAGGAGAAGGACTGAACCTAGCGACGAAAGGTCAAGCCCATTATGCTCGATATTAATTAGATTCAAGCAATATGTGTCAGTCAAAGCTGCAAGGAAATTCAAAGTATCTCGTCGCAAATTGATAAGATGATTCAAAGAATCTAATTTAAAGTATCAACCTATCCAATGGGTAAGTGCCACCAAATATAACAACCTAGAATCACGATCCATTATGAATTCTCAAACGGTGAGGTGACATATGCTCAAGGAAAGTAAAAAGATTAAAAAATCCCTTGGCTTTGAATATCTAATCAAAAGGAATTCTTGCTTTTCATCCTCTTGCTTTTGCTTGGCGGCAATCCCTTCACAAAGTCATCGCTAGCTCTCAGCTCTTATCTTTTGTGGTTAAGTACGAGTCTCTTTCTTGTCTTGCTCAAAATTTTTCTTTATTCTCATTTTCACCGTAAAATAGCTCTTAAGGTGCTCCGGTGATCATAACAATACAATAGAAGGGTGGTTTGACAAACAGGCTTCAATTCTATTTATTTATTTTTTATGACTCGGATATTCAAGTTTCGTCCGACTAATCTCAATGAGTGGCGACCTCCCCGTTGGTTCGTCACCCGAATAGATTGGATGTGGTCACAACTTACACACTTGGGTTGGATATTCGGGAAGCGATTCTCTTCCATATGGACAATTCTTTAAGACGTGTGGATGGAACCCTGGAGGGGTGATAGAGTGAACCTTGACTTTGACTTCACATGACATTTTTCTTTTAACATAAATGTTGCTTTCCAGTTGCCGCAAATTTGAACCTCTGATACTTTGTAAAGAAACATCTAGCTTTACCACTGCGCTATGCTCGTGGCACCTGTTGGCTTCAATTTTTGAGGTCTAACATACGGATTTAAGCATCAGTTTTTAGCCAAAATGGAGGATCAAACAATAGACAGGGGAACATGACTAATATTATTTTAACGGCTTTCCATCAGTTTTCTTGTTTTCCATTCTTTTATAACTCTTTTTTTTACATATTCATTTTTAACCAAACATTCACATAATAAAATATTCTAAACGTAAACTAAAAAATACTTCTTACTTTTTAACCATATATTATTCAAAAAATCACTGTTTAAAACAATGTTTTCTTAAAAATTGGCCACCAGGGGCTAAAGACTGTTAAGAATTGGGATTCTATCTTAAAATGTCAACCTTATTAAGAGGAGTAACTCAATCCTTTATAAATTCATCTGTATTTACATCTTTATTCGATGTGAGATTATATCCCTTAACATGCCCCCACAAGATGGTGGCTCGTTTGAGCAGACCAATCTTGAAATTCGTATGCTCACTTTTGGAGTCTTAACTGGATCGAATTGCTCGTTGAAGCTTAATGGGCTCTGATACCATGTTAGGAATATTGGGCCTAACTCCACCTAATAAAACCGGCTTATTAGGGGAGGATTGCCCTCACCTTATTAAGTGGATCATTTATATTTTCCCAGTTTGTTTTCTATTTGAG